TCGATTTTAATGCATTTGATGGTCTAAAAATTGAGACCAAACTAAATTCATAAAATTAACATTAATTTAAAATTCATAAAATTAAAATTAATTTAAAATTCAGAAAATTAAAATTAAATCATAAATTTATTAAAATTAACATTAATTTAAAATTCACAAAAATTATCATTAATTTAAAATGCATAAAAATAAATTTAATTTAAAATTCATAAAATTAACATTAATTTAAAATTCATAAATTCACCACACCTGGAATTTGTGACTGATCTTATTTAATTGGACCATTTATGAATTTTAAATTAATGTAATTTTATAAATTATATGATTTAATTTTAATGTTATGAATTTTAAATTAATGTTAATTTTATGAATTTTAAATTTATGATTTAATTTGAATTTTATGAATTTAAATTAATTTTAATTTTATGAATTTGAATTTTATGAATTTTAAATTAATGTTAATTTGTGTGGATTTTAAATTAATGTTAATTTTACTAATTTTATGAATTTTAAATTAATGTTAATTTTATGAATTTTAAATTAATGTTAATTTTATGAATTTAGTTTGGTCCCAATTTTTGGACCATCAAATGTATTAAGATCGATATCATATAGTTATGATCTATCCTAATTAAGTGGAATCGTAAAAAAAAAAATTTAATAATACGATCGATCTTTAGTGTATGTTCGATCAAAATTATGCAAGATCGATATTAATATTTAACGTTATAGACATTAAAAGTAAGGTTACAATTTTGAAGGCAAGATTACAATTTTTATTAGTAGGTTTATTGATGTAATAGACAAATGTATGAGTTTACAGGTGAAGTGAGGTAAGTTATCCATTAATTGGTAAGGTTATCTATAATAGAGGGAAAATTATTACAAATAATGGTGGAATTACTCCAAACAGTGGCAAAGAGGTAATCGTTATGAGTGAGGTTATAATATTTTGATGAAAGGTTACTACATGTTGATGTAAGGTTATAATTTTTATAAGAAAGATGACAATATTAAAAATAAAGTTATCACGTAGTTAGACTAAGTTATCCATTGAAAATTGTATCTACTATTGAGGGAGAGTTACAATGCATAAAGGTGAAATTATGGTTGTCAGTGGCAAAGAGATAACCTTTAGGAGTGAGATTATAACATGGAGAGGTAAGGTTACTATGTTTATAGATAGAATTACAATTTTAATAATCAGATTACCACCTATTGAGGTAAAATTACCAATTGAAAGAAATGTAAGCTTATCTAGTAAAAAGGAACACATACAATGCATAAAGGTAAACTTGCTCCTGTACGTGGAAAAAATGTAATCATTATGGCTGTGTTTATTACAAATTGTTGTCAGGTTACTACATGGAGAGGTAATGTTATAATATTTAGGGGTGAGGTTAAAACATTTTGTAGTAAGGTTACAACAAGTTGATGTAAGGGTACTACATGTTGATGTAAAGTTAGTACTGTTTGAGGTAGGATAACCAGTCGTAAAAATAAGATTAACACCTATAGAGGTAAAGTTACCCATGTGCATTAAAATAAATGCAAGTTTATCGACTAAAAAAGAACACTTACGATGCATAAAAGTAAACTTACTCCTCTCAGTTGGAAAGACGTAACCTTAAGGGGTGAGATTACAACAAAGGATAAATAAGATTAATCGTACATGCACATGATCGATCTAAATTTTTTTGTTTTTTTCTTCTACTTGTGTTACAACCTCAGTGGGGGGAACTTCATACCTATGGGGGGAATGGAGAATTTGGGATCGATCATACACAATAAAGATCGATCCTAATAATGAATAGTAAAGTAATGAAAGGATATACATAATAAAGATCAATTCTAATAAAGGTAAAATAATAAAGATCGATCCTAATAAAGGTAAACAAAATGATATACATTGCATTCTTGAAATTAAAATAATGAATATTATGATCGATCTTAATTGTTTACGATCGATCTTAGTTTGAGTACTGGATTTGGTACTTCTATAGAGGGAAATGTGGACCCCATCATGATGGACAACAAAATAATTAAATAATTATTTTCCCTCCCACTTTGAATGTATCCCGCCTAGATGATCCTGCCAAAAGCACTATTACCTTCGTCACTACACTATATTCCACCACCAACTCCTTCCCAACGTAGGGCGACGGCTGTAAAGCGATGTCGGAGCAGTCCATTGTTGTTGTTAGTCGCATTTGACGGTAGTTTGATATATTATAATCGTGTATGTGCATTCGATTGAAGCAATATCCATGTAAGTACCAATATCTTTTTTTTTTATGCTGTGTAACATTGGGACATATTTAAGTTGTAATAGAAGACATATTTTACTAAGGGTAAATAAGATGTATATGGAATGTAAAAGGGATGCAAATAAAATACCTCGACCATCAACCGCCTTGAATTAATACTGATGAGTCACTAGATATTTTCCCTCATGATCGACTTGGATGTAGGTTAAATCTTTAACATTTGTCCATATGCAGCAAAGAGAATTTAAAGAGAATAGAAGGTGGTGAATAAGCGAAAAAAAAATGAGGTATGTATATTTAACGTGTTAGTATTTTTAATTCGGCGAAGTCATGTTTATCAAGTGTAATGGAAGTAATTTCAGGCAATGAAAGATTGTGCTCTGCAATGGCGTAAGATGACTAATGTTGAGAAAGGAAAATACATAGATTTGACGAATTCATCAAAGTTGGAATATGAGCGTTTGAAAGGAAACATGAAGAACTCCAATTGCGGTGTCTTGAAGAACATGCAACATCCATATATACAAGGAAATTGTTTTTCAAAGTGCGCAATAAAGTTGAAGTCCGAATCCATGTTCTTTGTAGTCCAAAAAATTGACAACGGGATCCACTGGAGTTACTACTTGTCTCACTACACACAACCAGAATCAACATGGAATGTCATATGTTATCCTCACAATTATAGTATAAAGTGCAACTGCTTGAAAATGGAATCTGTTGGCATTCCATGCTCCCACTTCATAACTGTACTAAAATATGAGCACATTAAACGGTTCCCTCCAAGTCTCATTCTGAATCGCTGGACTATTTTTGCAAAAAAACATTTAGGAAATGAGAATGTGCCACCAACAAGTAACACTGTAACAATTTCGACACGGTATGCTGGATTAATGGCCATGTGTAGTCGTATGTGTTTTTATGCTTCGCATGGTTACAAAGCAACTCGGGACCTAACAAATATATTGCATGGCTTAATCTCTCAGATGAAGACCAATCATCAATCCCTTGGTAGAGCAAAAGAGACCTCTTCACAACACCAAAGTACGACTACAGAGTTAAATAAGTTTGTGGTAGTTGATCCACATATTGTTACAACAAAGGGATATCCAGGCTGTACACGAAATAATAATCCATTTACGTCCCGAAGATATAGCAAGTGTAGGGTAACCGGGCATAATATTCGTAAATGTCATTTGTTGACTACCCAGACTACTGATCCATACGAGGACATGCCCTTTTCACAAGCAGGCGGATCCCAGCAACCATTGCCAACTCAGGAACCTTTTGACCCTTTCACACATGTACGTAAACAAGTGTGGAGTTCAATATCATCTTTATAACACAAAGTTCCCCTTGTATTTGCTGCTTTATAAGTTATCAAGCAATGCACCATTTAACTGACCATTCTTTATCGATACATTGATTGTTCAGGATGACATTCATGACTTTCACTCAAGTGGTCATGGACAAGTTTTCACTCGACTTTAAGGGTTGTCACGGTGAGCGTTTTCATATCGCTTGTAAAGTTGCATAATCAACGTTATTTAAATTTACTAAAAAATTCAACATTTTTTAACACAGTGTACAATCCCCCACTTTTGGACAACTTTGATTTACAAAACTTATTTTGGGACAACTTTCATGTACACAAATCAGGAGTGCCAAATTTCTACAACTACTATATAACCAACACAAACCAGGTAGGATTCACCTAATTCTTTATATTACTAATCTCATTTACATGTTTATCCTCCGCACGCTTGCCTATCAAACTGATCAATATGTTGCTGCTTTCTTCTTCCAATGTATTCTGCTTTGTTGTTGAACTAACAAATATTATATACTATTTCACTTATGTGCAGTTGGGATTTTGGTTTGGGGAAGTATATGAATTATAGGGGTTAAACAAAGATGGCTGAGAGGGAGGAACTACTGTTCTATACATAGGCCATGCTTTTTGGTATTATTCCTGTCAGTGTAACGAGGTACCCTTATATCAAGTATAACCTTTTGGGGTGAGGTTATAACAAGTTGCTGAAAGGTTACTACATGTTGATGTATGGTTACAACATTTTGATGTTAATATACTACAATAATGTTCCTGGAAATAATGAATTTGTAAAAACTACAAGAAACAACACCATACAACAAAAAATTTCATTCCATTGCCAACAAATTCTGTTCATTAGGATTGGTTACATTTTTATAGGTTACAAGGTCGCCAAATCTAACATGACCCAAAAGATTTACAAGCATATAAACATTTCCATTCATACAAATTTCTTCCACATAAAACCCGTCAACATTTCTTTCCAAATTCTTTAAATTTCTTGTACAGTCCATCAATCTTACTCTCCAACTTTTCCAAAGATCCCTTCATGCTTTCCTGAACGGCATGCAACTATGTGGCCAAACATTTTTGCCCAGTTAATATTTGCTCCAACTTTTCTCCAATATTATTCATGTTGAATGGACTGAAACTTGAACCCTCCCCCTTTGTCACAGTAATGCCCTCATTTTGGGAGTAAGACACCTGTGACATAGTCTTGACATAATTTCTAGGCCCAACATGACCAACACTTTATTTCAAAGTACCCTCATTTATCATACCCATGGCAGTAGTATACAATTCGCCAGGTTCAATCACAACCCCATATGTCTTCACAATATTAGTAATCAAAATAGGAAATAGAAGACTTCGCCTATTATCCTGCAACTCATAGGCATTCATAATCAGTTGGAAGATGTAATGGGAAAGGTCAATGCATGCCCCTTTACCAATCGCATATAGAAGTTGAGCTCTATCATATCCAAGTTCAGCTGTATGTCCTTTGGGATCAATGTTACAAACCAACTATTATGTTTAACATCCTATAAGCCAAACGAAGGTCTTTTTGATATATTTTACTGTTCTCATCCACCCATTCTATAGCAACATCACAAATTGTCTCAATTACCGTTTCCATGCTAGAGACTTCCTCTTTACTTTTGTAAGGAAGTACAATGGTATTCTTAGTGATGACAGGCCTGGGAACTTTCAACATTTTTGAAATAAAATCAAGAAAAACTTCTACTTTATTACCCTTAACTATAGACTTTAAAGTCTGCCCAACCATATCGAAGTCATGTAAATTAGCATAAAACAATCTAACTACATCGTTATATGCCTTAGTATCTTTCTTAACATCAAACATGTTCTCCCAATTATGATCTCCAAAAAACTTTGGACTGTCGATATTAATTAACTCACCAAGTGCAACGCCTCGTTCCACTAACAATGGCCGATGACAAAACATGTTTCAAACAATGTTTTTGCTTCTTCGTTCAAGAAACCAGTGTCAACATTCTAACTCTTACCTGTTTCACCATCATTCTTCTTCTGGGCATTACCGACTTGCTTAGTCGTCCATTCGCTGCCTTCCTCTTTTTTGTCGGTCCTGGTTTTCCTCCGGCCATTTCAATCAACATGGGATTACAACTTCTTTGATTCAATATACATAGGATCTTGCTGTTAGGGAGTACGGTCGATTGGGGGTATGTAGTGTTCCTAATTTGTGAAAACATCAAAGGGGGTTAGGGTTTGGGAGAACTCAGTAATGGGGAGGTTACATCCACAGTGGTTACCGATAGCACTTAAGGTGCAAAATGACAAACAAACCCATCAGCAATTGCCTTAAACCCCTCTATTTACATCAGATGTTTTTCGTAATTTCATATCTTTTATTCAAATCGAATACAATTTATTTTGTATTAAACAATTTCTGTTGATCAATCATAATTTTATTGATCGATCACAATCCATAAGTTAATGATTATTATTTTGCTTTATCGAATTTAATGTATTTTGTATTGATCAATTTCTGTTGATCAATCCTAATCTATTGATCGATCACAATCCATAAATTAATGATTACTATTTCGAATTTATTTCAGCAACGAATTATCATTTTTTTAATGATCGATTTACCATTATTAGATCAATCACAAAAAAATTATTGTCATATCAACCACAACTTATTTGTTCAATCACATAACATTTCACTCCTTTTGAAAACGAACGTATTTAGAAAATGATCAATCATAAAATTTATGCTCGATCAATATAAAAATACACTGATCTATCAGAAATATATTTACTGTTCCCCAGCAACCAACACCTTCATCCATCTTATTTTAAGTCATTTTAAAAAATCGATCGATCATTTAATTTTATGATTGATCATAATATTTTTTTGATCACCCTCCTTTGGAAATTGAACATAATTAACTTTTCAAATTTTTTTTTTAAATAATTACAAAAACGATCGATCATAATTATAATGATTAATCTTTGTCCTAATTACAGTTACCCACCACCCCCACCTTCAGCTTCTATTCCAATCAAGGGAAACTCTATGTTACAGGAAAAAAATTTATGTATTGATATTGTCGGTTACTATTTTGTATGGTAAAGTTACAATTTTAAAAGGAGAAGCTACAATTGTTCAAAAAAGGTTATGATCAATTACAAACACCCATGATCAATCATGAATAATGTGATATCGATTTCAATATTCCATGATCGATCATACCATTTGAAGTTGTAATTTTTTGCACCAGTACCACAATTCCCCCAACCAAATACCCCTAAAAATTCATGGCTCCGGTGTATTGTGATTCTCGGACAAACTACCTGAAAAAATCAAAAGTCCTTACAAAACCAGGCTGCTATGTAGTCATGTAAACACTATATCCAGATTAATTTTTTTTTTTTTTTTTTGGATCTAAGTTTGTGCTGACTATTATCTTGAGTCCGAATACTAACTATCATAGCTTGAGCAAATTTTGAACATGTCTCATGAGAAATAAGAATGACTAGCTCTAGAAATATGAAAAGTATTGTACTTGAGATATTTAGGTTATCAGAGACCAAATTCAGTCACCGAACCACTCCTATAGTTCAGATAAATTTTCCTTNAATTATTAGCTCTAGGAATATGAAAAGTATTGTACTTGAAATATTTAGGTTATCAGAAACTAAGTTCAGTCACCGAACTACTCCTATAGGTTCAGATAAATTTTCCATTTGATCAAAGGTCATTATTGCTAAGATTTAGGAAAGAACTCCCAATCTAATTTGGAAAGGTTGGCTTCAATGCACATTCAAGCTCGGCAAGAAAGGCTCAAATATCTTCTCCAACTCCTACTCAGTTAGGGTGACAGTTTTTGACGCAACACAATAATACTATTCGAAATTGATACAAAATTAACAGGTTAAGATTAATCATTTCTCAACATAAATCAACTTATAATACGACTTGTTAACAAAATAATAAATGAGTTGGATTAGTATCAAACATGAATAATAAAAAATTGACACGATTAATAAATTTAAGTAGTACTCTCTCCGTTCTTAAATATCTGTCGTGTTATATAATTTTTTTTGTTCCATAATATCTGTCGTTTAATGAAACCAAAGCATAATTAATATTTTTTTTCTTCCAAATTTACCTTTAACTTTTCAATGCATTAGATTTGGTGGAGACTAAGTGTCTTTCATAAACTTTTCCTTCCCAATACGTATTAAATAAGAGTATTTTAGTTTTGTGCAATTATTTTTTACTCATAGAGTTATTTAATAGTTTTTTTAATCTCGGTGCAAAAACTTTAAATGATAGATATTTAGGAATGGAGGGAGTATTATAAAAATAAAATACTAATTTTTTTATTATATTTTGCCAAATAGTGAATTAATTCTTGAAAAAAATATTTTACTCATTTATTATTATTATTATATTTATTAAATTAATTTTTAGTTTATAAAAAAAATGAGCCTAAGTTCGATTAAGTAATAATAAAATTTTAGACATAAAATTGAGTATTAATTTTTTATTTACAAGTTATATTAATTAATATCAACACGACATAAAAATAAATGGGTTGACACAACGTGACACGGTTATTTAACTGAGTTTGAATAGATCTGATTAAAATTTGACCCAAAATATAAATGATCCGACCCAATTGTCACCTTTAAACTCAGTCCAATAAGCGCTGCTTTTTGGAGAAAACGCCGCCGATTCTAATTAGGAAAGGTTTGATTTCCAAGCAACTTCAACCCACAAATACTATCCCTCGTACAATCAATTACAAAAAATCTTATTTGGAAAGGTTTGGAAAGTAAAGGATTAGTACTAGTATGATCAAGCTAGAACTCCCATTCCTCCTAAAAATCAAAAACCAGTTAGGTTCTCTGCCATATATGCATATGGGTTCTTCTTCTCTTTTACTTTTCAACAATTCGCCCTTAACAAACAACAAATTTCTTACTCCGCCATTGACAGCTGATATGACGAAGGGTATTGAACCCGATCCTTCGCTTGATAAATTCGAATGGCTAGTAATGGCTGCGATGATCAAATACGATGAAGAAAAGTTGCAAGAAAGTAGGGTGGAGGATCAGCAGCCACCGCCTGTTACCGGCCAACCCACCACGTCCGGTGACGACGAGTCCTCTGAAAAGCCTTCTGTGTCAGGTTCAGTTCTTCAATGTTCCAACAAGGGAAAGAAGCCGATGGTATTAGACGATACAGACTTGTATTACAATCAAGATGCACCTGATGAGTACTTCAATCAGATGTTATCTCAGGTGCTTGAGCTTGAACCATCGATGGTTGAAAGGGCGATGAAAGAGAAGGCATGGGTGAGACCTATTATGATGACAAACCCAATCCTCAAGGGTAAGTCCGAGGCAGAGAAAGAGAACTCATCGACAAGGCCTGTAATGGCATACCCAGAGGGTGTGTGCAGAGAAGAGAATGTGAACAGGGAAAGATTGCTAAAGAAAACTCAGGCGAACGAGTTCTTCGGTAGGCCTTTCTCTGGTGTGCTTGATATATCGAAGGGTGAAAGGTTGACGAAAGAGAAGTCTTCGAAGAGGGCTGTTATGGCATACCCAGATGGTATTTCCAGGGAAGAGGTCCTAAGGAGAGAGAGATTGCTCAAGAAACCAGTTGTAGAGATCCCACTAAAGATGTCTCCAAAGGATTTGAAACGACACAAATTTGAATTTGATGACAGTGATGAAGATTATAGGGTCAAGAAGAAGAATAAGATCAGCAAGAGTGTGACGAAAAAAGTTACTGATCAGGGTCCAAATCCACCACCCCCATTGCCTATTGAATTCAGAGAACGTATTTGCGAGATGGGTGGTTCGGAGAAGGACGCTGTGTTGGTGATACAGAAGCCATTGTTTTCGACAGACACAAGTTCTGGTCATAACCGCTTTTCGATTCCGATGAGACAAGTAAGGTCTGAGTTTCTCGACGACTGTGAGAAAAACTACCTTAAAAATCATAACGGGAAGGCTGTGGCTGCCATGGAAGTGACCTTGATTGGTCCATCGCTTGAAAAGTGGAAAGTAGGATTCAGGAGGTGGGAGATGAAGAAGGAAACAGGCAAAACTAGCTCATGTTATGTGATAAACTCTACGTGGAGAATGATTCAGAAAAAGCATGGTCTTAAACCAGGAATGGTTATGCAACTATGGGCGTTTCGGGTTAATGGAGAACTGCGTTTTGCTCTCGTCAAGCTTCCAAGAGGAGGAGGAGGGGGAGGAGGAGGAGAAGGAGGAGGAGGAGGTGGTGGTGGTAGCAATGGCGATGGAAGTGGTCCAAGTACTGATCATGGTGAAGACAAGACATCACCACCTTCTTCATCCGAACCAGGGCACTATTAGGGTTGTTTTACTTTTGAACCTATTTGTTTATCTAGCAATTAGAAGTATATTTATGTGGCTTTTTATTTGCAGAGCTTCTAGTTTTTCGGTTTCTTCTGAAAAACATAATTTTAATTTCTGCGTAGAACAAACTATGAATGTTTATATTTTCGGTTAATTCATGTAAAAATCTTTTAAAATCAGAAATCCATTTTGAGTCTTCCATCCGATCTAAATAGCTTAATTACCTTTGAATGTTAACATTTTACTTCTATTTTCAATTAAATTTTATTTACTATTAACTGAATTTTCATCAAATATTTGTGTGCAATCACATACAATTCAAATTAGAGCAGATATTGGTAAGTCTAAAACTCAANTCTTATACCCAAAAAAAGGAAGGATCCAGGTACCTTTTCTAAGTAAAAGGCGAAATCCTCACTCCCCATGAAGGTAGGAGTTAAATTTGTGTTTTCTCTGCTTACAATCATACTTGAGACCTGTTGTACGTGTTCAAATTTTCTTTCATCATTTATGGTTAGGGGAATTGCGNATGGCGGACCCTAATATGATCGGGACAAAGTACCAATTTTAGGATAATAGTACATAACATTATATCCGTAACATTTTTCCAGCAGTCATCAGCTACCCGAAAGTGAACAGTAACAACACGAGGAGCCGNCAGCTGAGCACCGATGAACAGCAGCTTGCCCTCTTATAACTTGATGTGCATAAAACATTATGTATTATAGTGCATACA